AGCTCGGGGCAGCTTCACGGTCTCGTTCTCACCTCCGTCAGAGTGCGGAGCTCCGCCTCCCGCTCGACCTGCGGCATCTCCCCCACAAATGGCTCTCAGACGCGGGGAAGAGCTTGGACATCCAGTCGCTCCCACAGTCACATGCTAACAAGCTAACTGACCCGACTGGAAAAACAGACGCGCCCTCTTCCGCCCAGAGTTTCAGAATAAAGGCATAGCCTCGCAGCTGGAGGGGTACTTTATTTAAAAAGGCTCGTGGTTTCAGTGAATTGATCAGTACATATACTTTATTGAGCAGATACATATACAGGAAGTTTAAGCAGCACGTGACCACACAAAACTAAAGTTTCCATTTTTCTCTCCTTTCTCTGAACTAAACCTTTTTTCTCCACACTGTAAACTTTAATTTAAACCCAACCTTTATTGACACTGATGTCTGATCAGCCCGATTGATTGAAACCATCTGCCGCAGATGAGTCAACTGTGGGCGTGGCCTCAGACGGGTGTGGCCCTCCACTCTTTGCCCTCGGTCAGCGCTCTTGGCTGGTGGATGAACACGCTGTACCGGACGCCCTGATTGGCTGCCGCCCGGACAAACCGGCTGTTTGCTGTCATGGTAACGGCCCTCAGCCAGTCTCCGGTGCCAAAGATCATGAGTGAACGGCGGTTGATCTTGGCACTGGGCGTGAGGTGCAGAGTGCGCTCCGACGGCTGGTCATCCACCACGTGGAGGCGGGCCAGCAGCTTCTGAGCGCGCTCCTTCTCACCAGGCCCGCCAAGCGTGTTCAGAATGACCTGGAAGTCGTGGACGGCGGCACGGCAGGCAAACAATTCCTTGCCCTCCATAAAAGCGTCGAGCTGCGGAAGCACCTGCTGGCGGCGTTCCTGGGCGGCCTGCTCTGTCAGCACATGCTCCCTGAAAGCGAAGTGGCACCGGCCGTGGCTGAGCGATGACACGTACGTGATGAGTGTCGTGATGTCCAGATTCACCCGCCGGCACTCTTCCACATGCACTTGTGCTGGGAACGCCACGCTGGCCACCACTGTGCCGCGGTCAACCCGCGTGAGCTCCGACGTGTCCTCCTCCTCCTCGTCCACCTCGCCGTCCTCGTCTTCCTCAGCTTGTTCCTCCTCCTCCTCCTGGTGCTGCTCTTCCTCCTCCTCAGTCGCCACAGCATTCACAGCCACGATGTCACCGCGGACGGACACGCCCATGTCCCGCAGGTGGTCAGCCATGGGGCTGGAGACGCCGTTGTAGAAGGCGAAGATGACGTGCGGGTGGCAGTAGTGTACAGGCTGCTGGCGGCTTGCCTGCAGGAAGTCCTCGGCCTGCCGTATGATGCTCTTGTCGCCATACTGGCCCCGCCCCTGCCAGATGTTGTGAAGAGCCTCCGCCTTCCTGCCCACTGCCTTCACCCAAGTGTGTCCCCCGTTGGCGACCACGTCAACCACCAGGGTGCGGCGGTGCCCGGCAGAGTCCTGGTAGGTGAAGACGTGCAGCAGCGCTGTGATGTCATCCAGACTCTGTGCAGAGTCCACGATGGCTGTCAGGTGGGTGAGGTTGGTGCTGTGCAGGTGAGACTCCTTCACGTGCACCTTTCCTGCCTCCACCCGCCGCAGGAAGCGCAGCTCGGCTCGCAGCTTCCCACACAGCTTCTGGTGACCCTCGACACCCAGACACAGCGTCTCCGCCCGCTGCAGCAGCTGCTGGGCGGAGCTAATCCTCTGTTGGAGCACAGCCTGCAGGGACATGGCATCTGCATCACACCTGAGGACAAGAGCGTATCAGAGGTCACTTCCTGTTTGTAGCCGAGATAACGACTCCAAACAAATCATTCAAAGTGCATCTTCCCGATTCACCTGCACAGGTCGGGAAGATCACCTGCAGTGACTCAGACAGGAAGTCAGGTAGCCAGTGACTAAACCCAGTCTAACCTGTTTTATGATGTCATCGTAAGTGTTTATTTCACTCTCTGTTCACACCCAAAGCCTTTGTACGGCACCTGTCTGACGAGACACCACCTGCTCCGCCTCGTTTCACCTAGCCCTGACATCGCCATCCCTTCTACGCTCACGCTGTCACTGTTGGGGACGGTGGGTTTAAATCTTTGATTATTGTGACATCGACTCGTTGAATCAGTTTTAAATGTATTTTGAGTCTCAGCTTAAAGCTCACAAAACTACTTCAACAACAGCAAACAGCAGGTACACGCATTCCACACAGAGACGTAAACACAGAGCGTGGATCGTTCACCTGAAAGTCGACATCTGGCAGATTCTGCAGGTTTCTTCACTCTGAGCTAAACTGAACCAGCAGCCAAAGAAGATCCAACGTACACTTCAAACATCCTCATTCATCCCTCTGACTTTGGCTCTGACTTCCTGCACAGCTCTCTAGGGCTGTTCGATATAACGATATATATCGGATGACGATATAAAAACATCGTTTCATTTTACGCTATCGTTTGTTTCGTGGTGTCGCAAAATAAACTGTTTAC